AAGACAGAGGCAGGTTAGAATTGGGTTTCTCTTGGGAGACAAAGATTCTAGTAATCACAGAGGCTCAGGTTTGCTAACCAAACTTGGTCAACACTGCGGCGTTGAAGGAAGGTCTGGCAGCTGCTTAAGTAGAGAGGGTCTCCTTGATGGGCTGACGAGGTCCAGGTGTGCAGGAGGGCTCCAGCCTAGGAGACCCACGGCGCACTCTGCTGGAGAAAGGTGGTACTTCTCCAGATCCCAACACTAGTTAAATAAACAGAGATCGATAGATTTCACTCCGTCGGCACATTTACTTATATCTTTGCAAGGAGAGAACAGTTCTTACAGCCCTTATGGCACAGCATTCTGCTCTGTTCTGCCTGATCAGTATTCGATCCCCCTAACTTACAGCAATGGAACGTAGTCAGAGTCAAAACTAATTACATACACTTTGGCTAACAGCAACATGTTATGAATAAACCTTGAGAAAGAATCAGGTTTGTTATGGGAAGAAGCTATGTCTGGTCTAAAAACACCCTCAGTGAGAGAATGGTGTGGCTTTGAAGGTGAAACAGACTGAGTGAAAACTTTTATAATGAGTAAATAGGATAAATTAATATATAATAGAAGAGAATTTTTAATTTTCCGACAACAGTTTCAAAGAATAAGGTAAAAAAATATATACAATAAATAAAATACATACAGCATAACACAATAACAATTTCAGATAGTGGAAATGTTTGTGAAAAAATAATTTATTAATATATGTGTTCCTGTAAAAAAAAAAAAAAAAATTAAATCAATACTAATGTAAATTAGTTACCAGTGTAGACCAGAGGATGTCACTGTTTCGCTGTTCATGTTTGTCGAGGCTGCCATCTTGGTGAGTCTGTAGCTGATCTGAATTCAGGGGCTGCGTCCTTTTTATTATTATTTTTATATACAAAACTAAGGCCCTCTATGTTTCTGTTTCAAAAGATGGTTCAGTCAGTTTTCGAGCTTAATGAACCAACCAGTCTCAGCCACAAAGTCAGTCTCCTGTATGTATGCCTTGTCCCTTACGCCAACATTATGTTTTGTTTTTATAAAGTGTATTTATGTTTTTTTGTTGCTAGCATATATATAAATATACTGGTGTAATAACTTATACCTTTTATTGGTTTGTGGTATACGTCTATTTTGAATTTATAGCCTGTCCTCGAGAAAAACCCACTTGCCACCACGCATATATATAATCCAATCCAATCCACTTTATTTATATAGCCCATTTAACAACAGAAAAGTTTCCAATGTGCTGTACATAACAAATAAACAACAACACAACAATACATAAAAACAATACAACAATAAATAAACTAAAAAGGACACAGAGGACCACACAGAGGACCACACAAACTACACGTTGTTAAAAGCCAAGGAGTAAAAGTGCGTCTTAAGACAAGACTTAAAACACTCCACAGTAGAGGCAGTCTGTATATGGAGGGGCAAAGTATTCCAAAGTCTGGGGCCAACTACAGAAAAGGCTCTGTCCCCTCTCGTTTTAAGCCTCGTCTTAGGCACTACTAACTGAAGATGGACCTCAGAACACGTGCCGGAGAATAAATCTGGAGGAGGTCAGTGATGTATTGAGAAGCCATCCCATTCAAGGCTCTAAACACAAACAATAAAATCTTAAGATTAATTCTAAAATGATTAGGGAGGCAGTGCAAAGATGCAAGAACTGGTGTAATGTGTTGATGTTTTCTGGTCCCTGTTAAAAGACGAGCCTCTGCATTTCGGACCAACTGCAGACAGGAGAGTGAGATCTTGCGTTTACAAGTGTGCATCTTGTGGTAGCAGTTTTCAAGTTAGTCAGCTGAGCTGCCCGGCTCAGCAGCCTTAAGTTAGGGAAGCACACACCATTTGAAATCCGGAAAGAAGAGTGATAAGGGCATAGCAAGCAGATATCTTCCCGCTGTCCAATAATGGGCACTAACCAAACGACCACTGGAGCCAGAAAATGCCGGGAAATAAAGCGGCTAAAACAATCCCTGCAATCCAAAGGGAGAGAGGTGGCCCACACTGCGTTAGGAGAGAAAGATAGCAAGGCTTTAACTTTACCAGTCGGCGTTTGCGTTTCTTGGGCAGGGGCGCATTTATCTTACACAGGCAGTCATGTAGATCCGTTAAGATAAAAGATTCGGATCTGTTCCCATCGGAAATGACACATGATCGCACATTTTCCTTGATCTTCAGCAACTCCAGGCGATTATACACCAACAATGAGTCAATGGTTCTTGTAACAAAATACAAAGAAAAATCAAACGGAGTCAATATA